CCTGTCCATCCTCTCGATGTCCTCGCAGCCCCACAGCGCCCCCCTGGGCACGTACAACGTGTGCCCCCCCCGCGCCGCCGCCGCCCGCAGCCGCCGCTCCGCGCCCGCCTCGCTCAGGGCCGTGGGGGAGCCCACCTGGGGGGGGGGGGCCGTGTGGGACCTATAGCGGGTGTGCTGTGACCCATAGACCCCATAGACCTCATAGACCCCATAGACCCCATAGACCCCATAGCCCATAGACCGCATAGACCACATAGACCCCATAGACCCTATAGACCACATAGACCCCATAGACCCCATAGCCCATAGACCACATAGAGCCCATAGACCCCATAGCCCATAGACCACATAGACCCCATAGACCCCATAGACCCCATAGACCCCATAGACCCCATAGACCCCATAGACCCCATAGACCCCATAGACCCCATAGACCCCATAGACCCCATAGACCACATAGACCACATAGACCCCATAGACCCCATAGACCATAGACCCCATAGACCCCATAGACCACATAGACCACATAGACCACATAGACCCCATAGACCACATAGACCCCATAGACCCCATAGACCCCATAGACCCCATAGACCCCATAGACCACATAGACCCCATAGACCACATAGACCATACACCCCATAGACCCCATAGACCACATAGACCCCATAGACCCCATAGACCACATAGACCACATAGACCCCATAGACCCCATAGACCCCATAGACCCCATAGACCCCATAGACCACATAGACCACATAGACCCCATAGACCCCATAGACCCCATAGACCCCATAGACCCCATAGACCCCATAGACCCCATAGACCCCATAGACCCCATAGACCACATAGATAGACCCATAGAGCCCATAGACCACCCATAGACCACCATAGACCACACAGACCCATAGACCCCATAGACAGACCCATAGAGCCCATAGACAGACTCACAGAGCCCATAGACAGACCTATAAAGCCAATAGAGCCCATAGAGAGACCCATAGAACCCATAGACCCATAGACCCCATAGACCCCATAGACCACATAGACCCCATAGACCATAGACCCCATAGACCCCATAGACCACATAGACCCCATAGAGCCCATAGACCCCATAGAGCCCATAGACCCCATAGACCCCATAGAGCCCATAGACCCCATAGAGCCCATAGACCCCATAGACCATAGACCCCATAGACCCCATAGACCGCATAGACCGCATAGACCACATAGACCCCATAGACCACATAGACCCCATAGACCACATAGACCACATAGACCCCATAGACCACATAGACCCCATAGACCCCATAGACCACATAGACCACATAGACCCCATAGACCCCATAGACCACATAGACCACATAGACCACATAGACCCCATAGACCACATAGACCCCATAGACCACATAGACCACATAGACCCCATAGACCCCCATAGACCCCCCATAGACCCCATGTGACACCATAGACCCCATAGACCACATAGACCCCATAGACCACATGCTAGACCACATATAGCCCATAGACCCCATAGACCCCATACACACCACATAGACATAGATCCCCATAGCCTTGTAGACCCCATGTACCCCGTACCCCATAGAACCCATATTCCATACCTCATTACCCCATATCCCATACCCATAGACCCCATACCACATAGACCCCATAGACCCCATATACCACCACATACCCATATACCCCATACCCCATATCCCATACCCACCCCATACCCCATACCCATGTATTCCCCATATCCCGTATATACCCCCCCATATACCCCATATCCCCATAGCCCATATATCCCATACCCCATATACCCCATAGCCTATACACCCCAAACCCCATATACCCTATACCCCATATACCCCATAGACCCCATATACCCTATAGCCCATATATCCCATACACCATATCCCATATATCCCATATCCCATACCCCTTATCCCATACCCCATACCTCCTATCCCATATATCCCATACCCCATATCCCATATACCCCATACATCCCATATAGCCCATATCCCATACCCCACCCCCATACCCCATATCCCACACCCCATATATCCCATATTCCACACCCCATATACCCCATACCCCATACCCCACACCCCACACCCCATATCCCACACCCCATACACCCCATACCCCATACCCCACACCCCATACCCCACACCCCACACCCCATATCCCACCATGAAGTCCGCACGGCTCAGGATCTCCTCCCCGTACTCCGTGGCCACGCAGGGATGCGCCACCTCCACCACCAGCTCCACCTCCCTGGGGGGCAATGGGGGGCAGTGGGGCATGGGGGGTGCCATTGGGTTCCATTGGGCGCCATTGGGTGCCATTGGCACCCATTGGGTGCCATTGGGCGCCATTGGGTGCCATTGGGTCCCATTGGGTGCCATTGGGCACCATTGGGACCCATTGGGTTCCATTGGGCGCCATTGGGCACCATTGGGACCCATTGGGTGCCATTGGGTGCCATTGCATGCCATTGGGTCCCATTGGTTTCCATTGGGCGCCCCTGGTCCCATAGGGCGCCATTGGGTTCCATTCCGTCCCATTGGGTCCCATTGGGTTCCATTGGGTCCCATTGGGTGCCATTGGGTTCCATTGCGTCCCATTGGGTCCCATTGGGTGCTATTGGGTTCCATTGGGTTACATCGAGTCCCATTGGGTTCCATTGCATCCCATTGGGTTCCGTTGCGTCCCATTGGGTTCCATTGAGTCCCATTGGGTGCCATTGCGTCCCATTGGGTTCCGCTGGGTGCCATTGGGTGCCATTGCATCCCATTGGGTGCCATAGGGCACCATTGGGTTCCATTGGGTCCCATTGCGTCCCATTGGGTGCCATTTGGTCCCATTGTGTTCCATTGCATCCCATCGGGTCCCATTGTGTCCCATTGGGTGCCATTGGATCCCATTGGGCACCATTGGGTGCCATTGGGCGCCATTGGGTCCCATTGCATCCCATTGGGTGCCATAGGGCACCATTGGGTGCCATTGCATCCCATTGGGTGCCATAGGGCACCATTGGGTTCCATTGGGTCCCATTGGGTTCCGTTGCGTCCCATTGGGTTCCATTGAGTCCCATTGGGTGCCATTGCATCCCATTGAGTGCCATAGGGCACCATTGGGTCCCATTGCGTTCCATTGGGTGCCATTGGGTCCCATTGGGCGCCGTTGGGTTCCATTGCATCCCATTGGGTCCCATTGAATCCCATTGGGTGCCATTGGGTTCCATTGGGCACCATTGGGTGCCATTGGGCGCCATTGGGTCCCATTGCGTGCCATTGGGCACCATTGGGTGCCATTGCATCCCATTGGGTGCCATAGGGCACCATTGCGTCCCATTGGGCGCCATTGGGTCCCATTGGGTGCCATTGGGTCCCATTGGGTGCCATTGGGTTCCATTGGGTGCCATAGGGCACCATTGCGTGCCATTGGGTTCCATTGCGTCCCATTGGGTTCCATTGGGTCCCTTTGGGCGCCGTTGGGTTCCATTGCATCCCATTGGGTCCCATTGCGTCCCATTGGGTGCCATTGGGTCCCATTGGGCACCATTGGGTGCCATTGGGCGCCATTGGGTCCCATTGCATCCCATTGGGTGCCATAGGGCACCATTGCGTCCCATTGGGTGCCATTGGGTCCCATTGGGCACCATTGGGTGCCATTGGGCGCCATAGGGCACCATTGCATCCCATTGGGTGCCATTGTGCCCCATTGGGTGCCATTGGCGCGACCCTCACATGTGGGGCAGCTCCTTGAGGTCCAGCAGCCGCAGTGGGGGGGGGACCCCGTCCAATGCCCCCCCCCGTGTCCACACGAACCCCAACGTCAGCCCCAGGGGGGGGCCCCGCGTCAGGAGCTGCCCCACAAGGAACCGACCTGGGGGGGGGGGAAACCCCATAAGTGCCCCCCCCAAATACCCCATAGCCCCCCCCCTTACCCCAATTCGCCCTTAATTACCCCCATAGCCCCCAATTACCCCTTCATTGCTCCCCATTACCCCCCCCCGTTACCCCTCCATCCCCATCATTACCCCCATAGCCCCCAATTACCCCTTCATTGCCCCCCACAGCCCCCAATTACCACCCCAATGACCATTAATTACCCCATAATATCCCCAATTACCCCTAATTAATGCCGAATTACCCTCATCATCCCTAATTGCCCCCAATTACCCCTAATTGCCCCTAATTGCCCCCAATTACCCCAAATTGCCCCAGTTACCCCTAATAACCCCAATTACCCATAATTAACGCCTAATTACCCCATCATCCCTAATAGCCCCAATTACCCCTAATTAACGTCTAATTGCCCCATCATTCCTAATTGCCCCCTAATTGCCCCCAATAGCCCAAATTACCCTAATTAACTCATAATTACCCCATCATCCCTAATTGCCCCCAATTACCTCTTATTAACGCATAATTACCCCATCATCCCTAATTGCCCCTAATTTCCCCCATTACCCATAAATAACGCCTAATTACCCCCACCATCCCTAATTGCCCCCAATTACCTCTAATTACACCGATTACCCCTAATAGCCCCAATTACCCCTAATTAACTCCTAATTCCCCCATCATCCCTAATTACCCCCATTACCCCCAATAGCCCCAATTACCCCTAATTGACTCCTAATTCCCCCATCATCCCTAATTGCCCCTATTACCCCTAATTAACGCCTAATTACCCCCAACATCCCTAATTGACCCCAGCTACTCCTAATTCCCCCATTATCCCTAATTGCCCCTATTACCCCTAATTAACGCCTAATTACCCCCATCATCCCTAATGGCCCCATTACCCCCAATAACCCCAATCAACTCCTAATTACCCCATCATCCCTAATTGCCCCAATTACCGCTAATAGCCCCAATTACCCCAATTGCTCCAATTACCCCTAATTAACTCCTAATTACCCCCATTATCACTAATTGCCCCAATTACCCCTAATTAACGCCTAATTACCCCCATCATCCCTAATTGCCCCCAGTTACCCCTAATTACCCCCATCATCCCTAATTGCCCCTATTACCCCTAATTAACGCCTAATTACCCCCATCATCCCTAATTGCCCCTAATTGCCCCCTAATTACCCCCATCATCCCTAATAGCCCCAATTACCCCTAATTAACTCCTAATTACCTCCATCATCCCTAATTGCCCCCATTACCCCCAATAGCCCCAATTAACCCTAATTAACTCCTAATTACCCCACCATCCTTAATAGCCCCAATTACCCCCAAAAGCCCCAATTACCCCTAATTAACTCCTAATTACCCCCATCATCCCTAATAGCCCCAATTACCCCTAATTAACTCCTAATTGCCCCCAATTACCCCTAATTGCCCCCAATTACCCCTAATAGCCCCAATTACCCCTAATTAACTCCTAATTACCCCCATCATCCCTAATAGCCCCAATTACCCCTAATTAACTCCTAATTACCCCATCATCCCTAATTACCCCCATTACCCCCAATAGCCCCAATTACCCCTAATTAACTCCTAATTCCCCCCATCATCCCTAATAGCCCCAATTACCCCAAATTAACGCCTAATTCCCCCCATCATACCCCAATAGCCCCAATTACCCCTAATTAACTCCTAATTACCCCCATCATCCCTAATAGCCCCAATTACCCCTAATTAACTCCTAATTCCCCCCATCATCCCTAATAGCCCCAATTGCCCCTAATTGCCCCAATTACCCCTTATTAACGCATAATTACCCCATCATCCCTAATTGCCCCTAATTGCCCCCTAATTACCCCCATCATCCCTAATTGCCCCAATTACCCCTAATTAACGCCTAATTACCCCAATCATCCCCAATAGCCCCAATTACCCCAATTGCCCCAATTACCCCTAATTAACGCCTAATTACCCCCATCATCCCTAATTACCCCAATTACCCCTAATTACCCCTTATAGCCCCAATTACCCCTAATTAACGCCTAATTACCCCCATCATCCCTAATTACCCCCTAATTGCCCCCAGTACCCAATTGGCCATAGCCCAGGATCCCGACCCGCCGGCACCGTGGGGGCTCTGCCATGACCTGGGGGGGGCAAAGCTCAGGGTCCTGACCCCCTCCAGCCCCATAAGTGCCCCCCCCAGCCCCATAAGTGACCCCGTTCAGCCCCATAAGTGCCCCCTCTGACCCATAACTACCCCCCCATTAGCTTCATACCCCCCTTAACCCCATGCGTGCCCCTTTTAACCCCGTCCTTGCCCCCTTTAGCCCCATAACCACCCCCCTGTAGCCCTATAACTGCTCCCAGCCCCATAAGTGACCCCGTTCAGCCCCATAAGTGCCCCCTCTGACCCATAACCGCCCCCCTTTCCCCCATACATGCCCCTTTTAACCCCATCCTTACCCCCTTTAGCCCCATAACCACCCCTCTGTAGCCCTATAACTGCTCCCAGCCCCATAAGTGCCCCCTCTGACCCATAACCACCCCCCTTTCCCCCATACATGCCCCTTTTAACCCCATCCTTACCCCCTTTAGCCCCATAACCACCCCTCCGTAGCCCTATAACTGCTCCCAGCCCCATAAGTGATCCCGTTCAGCCCCATAAGTGCCCCCTCTGACCCATAACTACCCCCCATTAGCTTCATAACCCCCCCTTAACCCCATGCGTGCCCCTTTTAACCCCATCCTTGCCCCCTTTAGCCCCATAACCACCCCTCCGTAGCCCTATAACTGCTCCCAGCCCCATAAGTGACCCCGTTCAGCCCCATAAATGCCCCCTCTGACCCATAACCACCCCCCTTTCCCCCATACATGCCCCTTTTAACCCCATCCTTGCCTCCTTTAGCCCCATAACCACCCCTCTGTAGCCCTATAACCACTCCCAGCCCCATAAGTGACCCCGTTCAGCCCCATAAGTGCCCCCTCTGACCCATAACCGCCCCCCTTTCCCCCATACATGCCCCTTTTAACCCCATCCTTACCCCCTTTAGCCCCATAACCACCCCTCTGTAGCCCTATAACTGCTCCCAGCCCCATAAGTGCCCCCTCTGACCCATAACCACCCCCCTTTCCCCCATACATGCCCCTTTTAACCCCATCCTTGCCCCCTTTAGCCCCATAACCACCCCTCCGTAGCCCTATAACCACTCCCAGCCCCATAAGTGCCCCCCCCGCCCCATAAATGCCCCCTCTGACCCATAACCACCCCCCTTTCCCCCATACACGCCCCTTTTAACCCCGTCCTTGCCCCCTTTAGCCCCATAACCACCCCCCCGTAGCCGTATAACTGCTCCCAGCCCCATAAGTGCCCCTCCCGGCCCCATAAATGCCCCCTCTGACCCATAACCACCCTCCTTAGCCCCATAACAGCCCCCTCTTACCCTCAGTTCTCTCCCCTCAGCCCCATAAGTGGCCCCCCCAGCCCCATAAGTGCATCCCCTCAGCCCCATGCCCCCTCAGCCCCATAAGTGCCCCCTTCAGCCCCATAAGTGCCCCTTCAGCCCCACAAGTGCCCCTTCAGCCCCATAAGTGCCCCTTCAGCCCCATAAGTGCCCCTTCAGCCCCATAAGTGCCCCCTCAGCCCCATAAGTGCCCCCTCAGCCCCATAAGTGCCCCTCAGCCCCATAAGTGCCCCTTCAGCCCCACAAGTGCCCCTTCAGCCCCATAAGTGCCCCCTCAGCCCCATAAGTGCCCCTTCAGCCCCATAAGTGCCCCCTCAGCCCCATAAGTGCCCCTCAGCCCCATAAGTGCCCCTTCAGCCCCATAAGTGCCCCTTCAGCCCCATTTACCCCACACTTGCCCCCTCGGATCGGCCTTTGCCCCCCCCCCCCCCCCCCCCCCCCGTAATGGCCCACCCGTATACACGGGGGGGGGGGGAGGGGAGGCCGCGCCGTTGCCATGGCGACCCCTCCCGTTCCCGTAGCGACCAATGGGGACGAGGGGGCGGAAGAGCCCCTCCCCCTGGGGTTGCCATGGAGACCGAGAGCCGCGGGGGATGGGAGGGGCTTGCGCGCAGCCCTTAGCGTGTTCTTAGCATGTTTTTGGTGTGTTCTTAGCATGTTCTTAGCGTGTTCCTAGCGTGTTCTTGGTTTGTTCTTAGCGTGTTCTTCGTGTGTTGTTGGCGTGTTCTTAGTGTGTTGTTGGCGTGTTGTTGGCGTGTTTTTAGCGTGTTCTTGGTGTGTTCGTGTGTTGTTGGTGTGTTCTTGGCATGTTTTTAGCGTGTTCTTGGGGTGTTCTTAGCGTGTTGTTAGCATGTTTTTTGGTGTGTTCTTAGCGTGTTTTTAGCGTGTTCCTAGAGTGTTCTTGGGTTTTGGTGTGTTCTTAGTGTGTTCCTAGAGTGTTCATGGTGTGTTCTTAGCGTGTTCTTCGTGTGTTCTTAGCGTGTTTTTAGCGTGTTCCTAGCGTGTTCTTGGTGTGTTCTTAGAGTGTTCTTCGTGTGTTGCTGCCGTGTTCTTGGCGTGTTTTTAGCGTGTTCATGGTGTGTTCTTAGCGTGTTCTTCGTGTGTTGTTGGTGTGTTCTTGGCGTGTTTTTAGCGTGTTCTTGGTGTGTTCTTAGCGTGTTCTTGGTGTGTTAGAGTGTTCTTGGTGTGTTCTTAGCGTGTTTTTGGTGTGTTCTTAGCGTGCTGTTGGCGTGTTCTTAGTGTGTTTTTAGCATGTTCTTGGTGTGTTCTTAGCGTGTTTTTGTTGTGTTCTTTGCGTGTTGTTGGTGTGTTCTTGGTGTGTTCTTAGCATGTCACGTCACGCAGGTCACACGCGTCACAGCCATGTCACATGCGCCACACCCCCGTCACGTCACACGTGTGTCACACCTCCATCACGTGTCACACGTGTGTCACACCCATGTCACATGGCACACCCCGTGACGTCAAACCCACGTCACACACGTGTCACATGCATGTCACATGTCACACCGTCACACGCGTGTCCCAGCCATGTCACGTCACATGCATGTCACATGCATGTCACAAGTCACACCCCCATCACATGTCACACCCCTGTCACGTCACATGTCACACCGACGTCACGTGTGTCACATGCACGTCACATGTCACCCCCATCACGTCACACCACTGTCACGTCACACCCCATCACACGTCACGCACACGTCACGCCCATGTCACATGTCACATCCCCATGATGTCACACCCCCGTAACATGTCACACCCCTCACAGGTCACGCACACGTCACACACACGTCACACCCATGTCACATGTCAAACCCATGTCACATGCGTGTCCCAGCCATGTCACATGTCACACCCCCATCACATGTCACACCCCATCACGTCACACCCATGTCACATGTCACACCCGTCACGTCACATCCATGTCACATGTCACACCCATGTCACATGTCACACCCCCGTCACATGTCCCATCCATGTCATGTCACACCCCATCACATGTCACACCCATGTCACATGTCACACCCATGTCACGTCACACCAATGTCACATGTCACAACCCATCACATGTCCCTCCCCCATCATGTCACACCCCCGTCACGTGTCACACCCCCGTCACGTGTCACACCCATGTCACATGTCACACCCCCGTCACGTGTCACACCCCCGTCACGTGTCACACCCCCGTCACGTGTCACACCCCATCACGTCACATCTGTCACGTCACACCCCCGTCACATGTCACACCCCCGTCATGTGTCACACCCATGTCACATCACACCCATGTCACATGTCACACCCCATCACACGTCACAACCCGTCACGTGTCACACCCCATCACGTCACATCTGTCACATGCCACATCCATGTCACATGTCACACCCCAGTCACGTCATACCCATGTCATGTGTCACACCCCTGTCACATCACACCCCCGTCACATGTCACACCCCTGTCATGTGTCACACCCCCGTCATGTGTCACACCCATGTCACATCACATCCATGTCACACCCCAGTCACATGTCACACCCCTGTCATGTGTCACACCCCTGTCACATGTCACACCCATCACATCACACCCGTCACGTCACCCCCATCACATGTCACACCCCCGTCACATGTCACACCCATCACATGTCACACCCATCACATCACACCCATGTCACATGTCACACCCATCACATGTCACACCCATCACATCACACCCCCGTCACATGTCACACCCCCGTCACATGTCACACCCATCACACGTCACACCCCATCACGTGTCACACCATCACATGTCACACCCATCACATGTCACACCCCATCACGTGTCACACCCCATCACGTGTCACACCCCTGTCACGTCACACACCCATCACATGTCACACCCCCATCACGTGTCACACCTCCATTATGTGTCACACCCCTGTCACATGTCACACCCCATCACGTGTCACACCCCTGTCACATCACACCCCCGTCACATGTCACACCCCCGTCACGTGTCACCCCCATCACGTCACCCCCATCACGTCACACCCCATCACGTGTCACACCCCATCACGTGTCACACCCCTGTCACATGTCACACCCCATCACGTGTCACACCCCTGTCACATGTCACACCCCATCACGTGTCCCTCCCCCATCACGTGTCACACCCCATCACGTGTCACACCCCCATCACGTGTCCCTCCCCCATCACGTCACACCCCATCACGTGTCACACCCCATCACGTGTCACACCCCTGTCACATGTCACACCCCATCACGTGTCCCTCCCCCATCACGTGTCACACCCCATCACGTGTCACACCCCCATCACATGTCCCTCCCCCATCACACACGTGCCCCCCTCCCCCCGCTCTCGTCCGTCTCCCCCCCGGCGCCTTTCAAACCCGCGCTGGATTTTTATTAAAATAGGAAAGTTTCGGCCGCGGCTTTAAAAAACCCCCAGGGGTGGGGGAGGGGAAGGGGGGGGGTGGGGGGGGAGGGGAGGGGGGGGGGGAGGGGGGTGTGGTTGGGGCGGGTCCCACACATGACCCACACGTGACCCACACGCATCCCCTTGGGCCGCACCTAAGCCCCCTCCCCCCCCAACCAATCCCATCCCCACCCCCCCCCTTCCCCTCCCCTCCCCCCCCATTCCTCCGCCCCTCCCCCCACCAGGTCCCTTCGCGCCCCTCCCCCCAGCATCGCACGACCCCGGGGTCCCCCCTTTCGGGGCCTTCCTCGTGCATCCCCCCCCCTCCCCCCCTCCCCCCCCCCCTTTTCCCGCGTACCGAGCGCCCCTCCCCCCCCATTCCCCCCCCAATCAGCACCCCTCCCCCACCCCCTCACCCCCCCTTCCCCTCCCCCCCCATTCAACCCCCACCGGCGCCTCTTTCTCCTCCCATCCTCCAGGGGGCGCCACTTGTGGTTGGGGGGGGGGAGGGGAGGGGTGGGGTGGGGTGGGGGGAGGGGGCGTTTCTGAGCGTTCCTGGAGGGGGGAGGGGGCGTTTTGAGCGTTTTTTGAAGCGTTTCTCGCGTGTTTTGGCCATGGGGAGAAGGGGTGGGGGGGGGATGGGGGGGTTTTGGGGTGGGGGGTGGGGGATGGGGGGTTTTTTGGGGGGGTGTGGGGGTTGGGCGCTGCCTGTCCTTCAGATCTGCGTCTCCTGCACGTTCTCCTTGGAGGGGCTCTTGAAGAGCAGCGGTTCGTGCACGGAGTTGAGCAGCGCGCTCTTGCCGCCGGCGTTGCCGTAATGGGCGGCGAAGGCCGCGTAGCGCTCCAGGTGGTCGCGTTCCAACGCCGGCAACGCCAACCGGTTGTCCCCAACACCACCACCACCACCACCACCGCTACCACCACCAACAACACCACCGGTGTTACCGGTGCCGGTCCCACCGCCCCCTCCGAGCTCGTCCTCCACGTTGACGATCTCGACGGCGCGCGCGGGGCCGCCGCGGTGCTTGTGGCGCTGGTGTTGCTTGCGGAGCTTGTAGAAGGCCACCAGCATGACGGCCGCCATGAAGGTGATGGCCACGAAGCAACCGATGATGATCTTGGTGGTCTTCAAGACGTCGTCGAGGTCTTGGAGGCCACCGGTACCGGTACCGATACCGCCGGCTGCCGCGACGGCGGTGATGGGTACGGTGAAGGGTTTCCCGGTGGCGCGCGTGGCCGAAGCGGCCGTGGAACCGCCGCCGGGGGCTTCCCAACCAACCGTAGGCACCGGCGGCGTCTGCGGCGCCGGTTCCTCGCCGCCGGCGTCGGTGGTTTCTACGGTGACCGTGGTGAAATAGGTATAACCGGTAGCGGCGGCGGCGGCGGCGGCGGCGGCGGCGGCGGCGTCGACGGCCGAGACGTTGAGCGTGGCGGTGGCCGTGGTGTTGCCGGCGGCGTTGGTGACCATGCAGGTGTACTGACCCGTGTCCTGCACGGTGACGTTGGTGAAGTTGAGCGTGCCGTCGTGCAGCACCGAGATGCGCACGCGGTACGAGCCGTGCGTCATGAGCGTCCCGTTGGGCGTCAACCAGTTCACCGACGTCATGGCAGTGCCCGTACGGCACTTAAGCTCGGCCGCCATACCTTCGGTAACGTTCAAGTCCGCCGGCGGCTCTACGATGACCGGCGCGTAACACGTGAAATGCCCCGGTTCCAACTCGCCCAAATAACGGCCCCGCAACGCCGGCGGCGCGTGGCACCGCGCGCAGCAGCTCGTGTTGCTCGGCACCGTCTCCCGTAACCACCAGCTCAACCAGAGCACGTCGCAGTCGCAACGCCACGGGTTATGGTGCAGGTGAACCCGCTCCAAGCGGTGCAACGGGGCGAAGAGATCGTGCGGCAGCGACGCCAGCTCGTTGTGTGCCAGGTTGAGCTCTTCCAACGCTTTCAGGTCGTCGAAGGCGTTGCGTTCCACCGCCGCCACGCGGGCGTGCATCAACCAAAGCTTCCTCAAGCTACCCAAGCCTTGGAAAGAACCCGGGCGGACGCGACCCAAACGGTTACCGGAGAGCTCGAGCTCTTCCAAGCGCACCAACGCCGTGAGGTTGGGGATGTCTTTGAGGTTGCACATACCCAAGTTCAAGTAGCGGAGGTTGACCAAGCCTTCGAAGGCCGCCTCGGAGATGTACTCCAACCGCTTGAGCTCGCCCAAATCGAGGCGGCGCAAGGAGGGCACGCGGTTGAAGGCGTACGACGGGATGCTCTCGATGGGGTTGTTGCGGAGCCAGAGCTCGCGGAGCTTCGAGAGGTACTCGAAGGCTTGCGTCGGCACGGTGGTGAGGCGGTTGTCGAAGAGCTCCAAGGTGTTGAGGTTGGGTAGGCCGTTGAAGGCGCCCACCTCGACGCGGCGCACCAGGTTGCGGCTCAACTGGAGGATCTCCAAGTGGCGCAGGTGTTTGAAGGTGTCGGTGCGGATGACTTGGATGTGGTTCTCTTGGAGGTTCAGGTAGCGGGTGTTGACCGAGATGCTGGCGGGTACCTCGAGGAGCTCGCGCCGCGTGCAGATCACGCGGCTCGCTTGGTTGCTGCACGAGCAGGCGGCCGGGCACGACGGCGACGACGACGACGACGATGACGATGATGACGATGATAACGATGATGATGACGACGGCACCACCGGTACCAAGAGGAGGAGGAGGAGGAGGACGAGGAGGAGGAACAAGGAGGAAGAAGAGGAAGAGGAAGGAGAAGGGGGAGGCGGCGGCATCGCTGCGGGCACCGGCGCCGCCATGGCTGCGGGCAAAGGGGCATCGTCCGGCGTCAGGGCCCCCGGTGGTGCTGTGGGGAGAGGAGAAAGAATGGGGGGCAATGGGGAAGGGTCGGGGGGGTTAGTGAGGACGGGGGGGGAATGATGAGTGATGGGGAGAGATGGTAATAGTGAGTAATGGGGGCAATGGGGGCAATGGGGGTAATGGGGGCAATGGGGGTAATGGGGGTAATGGGAGGCAATGGGGCAATGGGGGCAGTGGGGGTAATGGGGGTAATGGGGGGTAATGGGGGTAATGGGGGTAATGGGGGCAATGGGGGTAATGGGGGTAATGGGGGGCAATGGGGGTAATGGGAGCAATGGGGGGCAATGGGGATAATGGGGCAATGGGGATAATGGGGGGCAATGGGGGTAATGGGGCAATGGGGGCAGTGGGGGGAATGGGGCAATGGGGGAATGGGGGCAATGGGGGCAACGGGGTGCAATGGGGGTAATGGGGGTAATGGGGGGCAATGGGGGTAATGGGAGCAATGGGGGGCAATGGGGGCAATGGGAGCAATGGAAGCAATGGGGGGCAATGGGAGCAATGGGAGCAATGGGGGGCAATGGGGGGCAATGGGAGCAACGGGGAGCAATGGGGGTAATGGGGTAATGGGGGTAATGGGGTAATGGGGGGCAATGGGAGCAATGGGGGTAATGGAAGCAATGGGAGCAATGGGGGCAATGGGGGTAATGGGGGCAATGGGGGGCAATGGGGGGCAATGGAACAACGGGGAGCAATGGGGTACAATGGGGGGCAATGGGAGCAATGGGAGCAATGGGGGGCAATGGGGAGTGATAGTGAGCAAGAGTGAGCAATGGGGAGCAATGGGGAGCAATGGGGGTAATGGGGAGTGATAGTGAGCAATGGGGGCAATGGGGAGCAGTGGGGACAATGGGGTAATGGGAGCAATGGGGAGCAATGGGGGTAATGGGGGGCAATGGGGGGCAATGGGGGCAATGGGGAGTGATAGTGAGCAATAGTGAGGAATGGGGAGCAATGGGGGGCAATGGGGAGCATTAGGAAGCAATAGGGAGCAGTGGGGGGGCAATGATGGGTAATGGGGAGAGATGGTAATGGTGAGCAATGGGGGCAATGGGGGTAATGGGGGGTGATGGTGAGCAATGGGGGGTGATGGGGGGCAATGGGGGTAATGGGGGGTGATGGGGGCAATGGGAGGAAAATGAGTGATGGGGAGAGATGGTGTGTAATAGTGAGCAATGGGGGCAATGGGAGCAATGGGGAGCAATGGGGCGCAATGGGGAGCAATGGGGCGCAATGGGGTGCAATGGGGCGCAATGAGGAGCAATGGGAGCAATGGGGTGCAATGGGGCGCAATGGTTAGCAATGGGAGCAATGGGGCGCAATGGGGTGCAATGGGAGCAATGGGGTGCAATGGGGAGCAATGGGGCGCAATGGGGCACAATGGGGCCCCCAAGTGAGGGCGGCCATGGGGAGCATGGGCCGGGTGAGCACAGGAGCTGGGGGGCAGGGACAGGAGCACAAATGGACCCCCCAAGGGTGCATCCCATCGACCCCCGGGCACTCACATGGGTGCGCACCCATTGCACCCATGAGCACCCATTGCACCCATGAGCACCCACTGCACCCATGATCACCCATTGCACCCATGGCACCCATTGCATCCATGAGCTCCCATTGCATCCATGAGCTCCCATTGCACCCATGAGCTCCCGTTGCACCCATTGCACCCATGAGCACCCACTGCACCCATGAGCACCCATTGCACCCATGAGCACCCATTGCATCCATGAGCACCCATTGCACCCATGAGCACCCATTGCATCCATGGCACCCATTGCATCCATGAGCACCCATTGCACCCATGAGCTCCCATTGTACCCATGGCACCCATTGCATCCATGAGCACCCATTGTACCCATGGCACCCATTGCATCCATGAGCACCCATTGCACCCATGAACACCCACTGCACCCATGAGCTCCCATTGCACCCATGGCACCCATTGCATCCATGAGCACCCATTGCACCCATGGCACCCATGAGCCACCATGTGCACCCATGAGCTCCCATTACACCCATGTGCACCCCATTACACCCATGAGCACCCACTGCATTCATGTGCACCCATGAGCTCCCATTACACCCATGCGCACTCATTGCACCCATGCGCACCCATTAGATCCATGAGCACCCATTAGATCCGTGTGCACCCATTACACCCATGAGCACCCATTGCATCCATGAGCTCCCATTGCACCCATGAGCTCCCATTACACCCATGTGCACCCATTGCACCCATGAGCACCCATTGCACCCATATGCACCCCATTATACCCATGAGCACCCATTACACCCATGCGCACCCACTGCACCCATGAGCACCCATTACATCCATGCGCACCCATTGCACCCATGAGCACCCATTGCACCCATGCGCACCTGTTACATCCATGTGCACCCGTTACACCCATGCGTACCCATTGCATCCATGAGCACCCATTGCATCCACGAGCACCCATTACATCCATGAGCACACATTGCATCCATGCACACCCATTGAATCCATGTGCACCCATTGCACCCATGCGCACCCATTACATCCATGCGCACCCATTACACACATGAGCACCCATTGCAGCCATGCGCACCCATTACATCCATGCACACCCATCAAATCCATGTGCACCCATGTGCACCCATTATATCCGTGCACACCCATTACACCCCATTACCCCCATTTGCACCCATGCGCACCCATCGCATCCATGCGCACCCATTGCACCCATTTACACCCATTACATCCATGAGCACCCATTACACCCATGAGCACCCATTACATCCCATTGCAGACATTGCACCCATTTACACCCATTACATCCATGAGCACCCATTACACCCATGAGCACCCATTACATCCATGTGCACCCATTGCACCCACGAGCACCCATTACATCCATGTGCACCCATTGCACCCACGAGCACCCATTACATCCGTGTGCACCCATTACATCCATGTGCACCCATTGCACCCATTTGCACCCATTATATACATGCGCACCCATTACACCCATGCTCACCCATGATATCCCATTACATCCATGTGCACCCATTACATCCATGTGCACCCATTACACCCATGAGCATCCATTGCACCCATTTACACCCATGAGCACCCATTATATCCATGAGCACCCATTACACCCGTTTACACCCATTACATCCATGCGCACCCATTGCACCCATTTGCACCCATTACACCCATGTGCACCCATTGCACCCATGAGCACCCATTACATCTGTGTGCACCCATTACATCCATGAGCACCCATTGCACCCATGCGCACCCATTGAATCCATGTGCACCCATTGCACCCATTACTTCCATGAGCACCCATTACACCCATGTGCACCCATTACATCCTTGTGCACCCATTACATCCATGAGCACCCATTGCACCCGTTTACACCCATTACATCCATGAGCACCCATTGCACCCATTTACACCCATTACATCCATGAGCACCCATTGCACCCATTTACACCCATTACATCCATGAGCACCCATTGCACCCTATTACCCCCATTAACACCATTCACACCCATTGCACCCATCGCATCCATGCACACCCATTGCACCCATTTACACCCATTACACCCATGAGCACCAATTGCACCCATGTGCTCCCATTGCATCCATGAGCACCCATTGCACCCATTTGCACCCATTACGCCCATGCACAACCATTACAACCATGTGCACCCATTACATCCATGCGCACCCATTGCACCCATTTACACCCATCACATCCATGTGCACCCATTACATCCCGTTACATCCATGAGCACCCATTACACCCATTTGCACCCATTGCACCCATGTGCACCCATTATATCCGTGTGCACCCATTGCACCCATGAGCACCCATTGCAGCCATGCGCACCCATTACATCCATGTGCACCCATTACATCCCATTGCAGACATTGCACCCATTTGCACCCATTACATCCATGTGCACCCATTACACCCATTTACGCCCATTACACCCATGAGCACCCATTGCACCCATTTACACCCATTCCACTCTTGAGCACCCATTACATCCATGCGCACCCATTACACCCATTTACACCCATTACACCCATGCGCACCCATTACATCCATGCGCACCCATTACACCCATGCGCACCCATTACATCCATGAGCACCCATTACACCCATGCACACCCATTGCACCCATTTACACCCATTACATCCATGCGCACCCAGGAGCACCCATTACATCCATGAGCACCCATGCGAACCCATTACGCCCAATCACCCCCATCGCACCCATGCGCACCCATCGCACCCATGAGCACCCATGACATCCATGAGCACCCATGACATCCATGAGCACCCATGTGCATCCATTACACCCCATCACCCCCATTCGCTCCCATCACCCCCATTCGCACCCATGCGCACCCATTGCACCCTTTAGCACCCATTACACCCCATTACACCCCATTACCCCCATCGCATCCATGAGCACCCAGGAGCACCCATTACACCCATTACATCCATGAGCACCCATTACCCCCATCACCCCCATCGCACCCATGCGCACCCATTGCACCCATGCACACCCGTTGCACCCATTTACACCCATTGCACCCATGAGCACCCATTACACCCATGCACACCCATTGCACCCATTTACACCCATTACATCCATGAGCACCCGTTGCACCCATTTACACCCATTGCACCCATTAGCACCCATTACACCCCATCACCCCCATCGCATCCATGCACACCCATTGCACCCATGTGCACCCATTACCCCCATCACCCCCATTGCACCCATGCACACCCATCGCACCCATGCACACCCATTGCACCCATTTAC